TAAACCACGACAGCTGTTTTCTCTCATCTGCTACGTACAAAGGTAAGGAAAAACACATCCGCTCCCAGTCTCTATCACTAGACTTGCAGAAACAACCTTTCCTTATACCGTCAGGGTTCAAATCCCCAGCGCAGAGGCAACACTTACTAGGAGGCTGATCAAGTTTTACTATTGATGCTTGTAGTGCATAAAGTGCTTGTAGTTCCTTCTCTGTGTCTGAGTCTAGGTACTTGAGTAAGATCGGCACTCTCTGTTTGATAACAGCAGTGTCCACGCTGAAGCTAGAAGAGTCCGCTGAGGGGAAGAGAAGAAAACAGGGTCAGCGCTGGTACGCAGCAGCAGGGGCGGATCGTTTATCGCCTTTGTTTATTCAAATAGAAATCACAGATACAGGTTAGTGTGGAGAGAAGAGAGGACGAGAAACAACAGGAAGTATTTCTGATCAATGGCTTCTTCTGCAAGTCTTGGGTCTTCCAGTTCCCCAAATTCAACCAGTATCTGCAGCAACCCTGGCCCTAACCCGCCTGCTGATACACACAGAAGAATTACAGCCGTACTTCACAGCGCAAATTGTTGTGTTTCCACAGACAACTGGATGTCCAAAGTGCATACAACAGCTGAGGCTAAAATTTCAGTTATACAGAAGGTTTTCTTTTTTTTAATTCTAAAAATACTAAGGCAGAAACGGAATCATAAGCTGCACAGGACTATATAAAAAATAACACATTAGAAGTCCATCAGCAACACGGATAAATTATTCAGCAGCTTTTAAGTAGCTCGTGCAACACGATTAAGTGATATTTTGAAAACAAAAGGGAAAAAAAAGCCCTCAGTGAGATGCAAGCTCAAAACCTAAACCAGAAGACGACGTTCCTGATACGCATCAGGGAACCCTCAACCCTCTGTCATCAAATCCGGTGCCACTTCGCCAGTGACACTAGGTGGCACCAGAAAGGTTCTGTTCTCAGGGAGAAGGGAGCTGGGCTGCCCTTCCCCTCGCAACAAGATGAAGTTCAAGTTCAGACCGTTGTCTCCACCGAGCGCGACTCTTACAGCTCAGAGCAGAACCGGCTGCTTCACCTTGCCAGGTGCCAACAGTAAAGTTAAAGGGACCAAAGCGAACTGAGCAGATGTTTTCTGGCCGCAGCACTTTATTCAAGCCCCCCCCGAGGGTCCGAGGCTCACACGTCTGACTTGGGAACCCACCCTTTCCTCCATTTCCAGCCGACTGCCGTGCATCCAAGTAAGCCGCACAAACTGCCTTTCCAAAACTGCAACTTGGGACGTAAAACTATTAACGAGACAGAGATGCAGGCTGGCTTCTCTTCCGCAACCCACGCTTCCAACTCGCACGTGGCAATCTGCGACGGTGGAGCGCCCACGCGTACTTGCTGACACAGGAGTGGAAATGCTAATTATCTTAATAACGTCTAGCGCATTTCCACCTTCACTAGAAGAACGGATGAACAATCTGGCATTACTCAGAGTCACCGGAAATGTCTGCTCGCGCAAGGTCACCGGGACGTGCCAGGGCCGCGGCAAAGCGCCTGGCTGTGGCACGGACATCCCGCTCTTGAGTGCTACGATTCAGTACGCTGCAAAAGTCTTAGTGTGTGATAAAAAACAGCCTCGGGGGAGGGAAAGTGATATAAACCTGAAAAATATAAAATAATTCTTTGCACATTTGGTTTGTACGGTGTTTACGTTGCAAGTTACTCACCTATAATAGCTGCTTTACAAACTGCTGTCATTAAAGCTCTAAGGAATGTAGGTGAACTCATCTGGCTTTCATCTAGATTAGCCTGAAATCAAGAGTAAATGGGCCAGTTAAAAACACGCTGCTGCACGACAGCAACCGCTTCCAAACTCCACTGCTGAATTTGGCAGCAAGTTCAAGTTCAGCAAAAGCTGCCGCAGTAGAAATCCACTTCACCCCTCTGCGAAAACTTGAGACTAGCTCAGGTACGTCAACATGCAACAACAATTCTCACGCGATCAATACACCATTTAACTACTCCCACGACTTGTCATTTGTCTCGAGAAACAAACCAAGCCAACAGCGCTTGGCTTTTACAATGCCCTTATAACATTTTCTACGAGTTTTAGGCTTTTTCAACAAATTTTACAGCATACTCCTTGGGTGGAGATTTGTTTGCTTTGTAGAGGAAATTCAGAGAATGGCTACGTAACTTGTCCCAGACTACAAAGAGCCCGTGGGTGTCCCCAGAGTTTCAGTGCTGCTTTCATTCCCCTCTCGACTTCCCCAACGGCAGCAGAAAAATGACATTTCTAACGCATTGCTCCAGCAACAGAAATAACTGAAGTGAAGCTGCCCGAGATTTAGCTGTAAGCACAGATCGAAATGAATCAGGTTGGGTATAATTTCAGACACTAGATTAAACACCTGGCTTAAAGGATGCAGCCAGAGATAGAGGGCAAAAGATCAGTGGGTTGACAGGGCTTGCCTTTTTTTTTTCCCCCCCCTTAAAATCTTTTTTTCTTTATTTTTCTCTTACAGTGCCTGGTCCGAGGCACCAGGAAAGCTACAGGTGCCCTCAGTGACTGCCCAGGATGTTTTTGCAGCGTGGCAGGGCACGCAGCTGGGCAGGGGGGAATTTGCGTAGCTCATTTTGCAAAAAGCAACGAGATGCTTTTATCCCATATTTTGGGAAGAAAGAATGTAGCACTGTACTTGGTCTAAAATGCAATAAGTAGCCAGAAGCAGTGTTTTCAGAGACAAAAAGTCTACAGTATTTAAAAGGAAGTTACACAGTTGTACATTAATATGGCTAAAATTCTTTCTTCCTAAAGCTTACTTCGACATAACTGACTGATCACATTTTAGATTTTAATTATTTGGAAGTATCGACTGCACAGACCGAATCATCTTAGTGTCCTATACCTAGGGAGGAGCCTGCAGAGATGCTCCTTTAGGTGAGAAAATATTTACAAAAGTAGTTAACAAACTGTGTGCAGGGAGGGTGAAAATAGTCTTTGTACCTCTACCCAGTCAAAGATTTGTTCATCATTCGCCTTGTCCTCAACAATGAGTTTTTCTAGCTGCTTGTTCAGCTCTTCCGCAGAGAGTTCTTTCTCTGAAAGTGCTTCTGAGGAACTGGAACAGTCGGACTCCGTGAAGTCCAACTTCTGCAACACCAGAAGCAATGATGAGAATTAGTTAAATATCCTTTCCTGTGCTGAATTATGCCAAATTGAGGCAGCAAGCTACACTTCATTCTCCCTTCTGGCATCTTTCAGCTGCTACGTTATCATTACAACAACTGATATACTTTTTCTGTTCCCTAGATTATAGAATATTTTACAAACATGTGGGAACTACATTACCCAGCAAAGACAACCAGGCATCTCGGAGCAACTCCAGCCCCGCACAACACGAGCGTGCACAAAATAAAGCGCGTGTCGCTCAACCAAAACGACGGGGAGCTGGAGTGCAATTACCAGAGCTGGCATTTGCTCAAAGAAATTGCAGCTAACGCCCCAGTTTGTTGCAAAATGCGACGGAGGAGCTACAGGCCCCTCACCAAGCCCCAGGCCTTGGTAATCCCTTTCATTTCCTGCAGCGCAGCACTTCCTAAGTGCTAAAACAGGGCAGTGGGTCACTTGGAGATCCAAAGGGAGACCTCCAGCTTCTTCCCAAGGAGCAGCAAGAGCTGCACGGTGCCCTCCGTCAGTCCTGGCTTCTCTTGGTTGTGAAACCCTCCGGGATCATAATGCAAGGTGGGATGAGTGAATAATTGCTCCCATTTATTCTGGCCCCTCTGCAGGTCATCTGTCCTTGCTGCACAACTCATTCTTGAATTCATTCCCCGCAGCTGGAGGAAGAGATCTCCTCAGGGAAGCCAGCTGCCGGGAGGTGCGTGCCTGGGATCGGAGGGGACAAGCCCGTCCTCCCGGTGTGTCAGAAAGGAGGCGCTGAAATAATCTAACCCCGACTTGGTGAGGGAGACACTTCACCCCACATCCCACACCACCTGCCCATAAGGATGGGATGGAAGAGGACGAACACGGGGCCAAAAATCAGTGTGCCAAAGTCGTTACGCTCTGAACTCACTTGTTCCATGAGAAAGGTATGTACATCCTCCCCTTCGAGTAAGTAGTCCTTCCAACTGAGGCCAGCCTCCCTCCATAAGGCTCCCACTTTCTTATGGCTCTAAAACACAAACAGTTTGTTCATTTTAAAGACTTGAGAGACAACCTGGAGAGCTTATGCAAGCCGGAGTAGTGCAGCTGCGTCAGGAGAAATAAAGAACCGTTCAGCCACCAAACAAGATGAAGTGAAAACATCTGGAAATCCCGTGCAAGAGAAATCATATACGCGATCCTGCCACAGGTACACGCATCTTGTCAAGTGGTCAAACGCCACGGTGATGGGTAATAAACCAGGCAAAACGTGACACGTGGGGTTTGCGACAACTTCAGCCAGAGACTGCCTACGAGAAGTGACACATCTGAACCAGGCAGCGTCCCACGGCCGTGACATGGAGCTGGCGGTTTGATGACTTGGATTCTTCTCCTGACTCTGTCATTAACTCACACTGACTCATTCTCCCCCTGCCTTGACATTAAGGCACCGGCAAATTAGCTACTTTCAGCGAACAATTATTTACGTGGCTGTCTTCTGTGCAGAGATCAAACCTCAAATTTGGGTACGTAACACCAAGTTCACCCTTCAATTCCTAGAATTTACTGCAAACCTTGAGAAAAGCTCCTTTGCAGCACACGCAGTTCAACCTTCCGCATCCTCTAGTGTCACGCTGACCTTTTGGTATCCTGCCTGAGACGGCATATACACAATTCTGACAAGAATAAAAGTACTAGTAACAACCAGCTCTTTTCACCCAAATACTCTGCAAAAACCTTCACCTTACAGCACCTGCACAAGGGAGATGGTGGCGTAGCCTAAGCCAAGCACTGATAAAAGCAGCCTGATTTTCAGTTTACAAAGCCGATTACAATTTTAAGTTTACAATGCAGATCGTTAACAGCTAATTGTGCATGGTTCCTGCTACGATTCGTCAGGATCTGAATTAGATGACTGATACTACATTGAAATACCCGAGTCCAAGTATTGGCCTGGACAAGATCAAATTTGAAAGCTGTGGCAGAAACAGAAACCTGAGCCTGTGCTTCAACCCCCAGAGCACGGCAGCTTTTCTTTCAAAGAACGGTGAAAAAATAAATGGAAGTCGACTGTCCAAACAAGCATAGGGCTAAAATAAAGAAATAAAAAGTCACGATTTGTACTGCTAGACTGAAATGCTCCTGAAACATTCAACCTTATTTGAATGCATGCTTAAAAAAAAAAAAGAAAAAAAAAAAAAGGCAAGTGAGGGGTTTTACAGGGTTTAAAAGAGACACTGTCCAAAGTGCAGTATTTAGTTGGATTAAAAAAAAAAAAAAAGACAAAAACTGGAGACAGAGTTATAGGGAAACCATCAGACTGTTTGGCCACACAACTGTGAAATACGTGAGAGAGCTCTAGAAGTTACAGGGTGAAAAGGTGTCACTACCCCTAGTGATGGGTGAATCTTAAGAGTTGGCGGGTTTAGTTTGGATAAGCACCCAGAAGTCTGAGAGGCCATCTGAAGCTTATCCGAACCCTCAGAACCTCTCCGGTCTGCAAGAACAGCTCTCTCGCAAGATTTCCGGCACTTGCTGCTTCTGGTCAGCCCAGAAATACCTTGAGAATGTCCCTCTTGCAGTATTTCAGCACTCTAGCTTCTGGAAGAAGCCAGGTGCAAAGGTACCTGCAAAAGGGAAAAGTGATAAGGAAAAAAAAAAAGTTAACTCAACTTTTTGGAACCTTGTAAGGCTTGGTTTGAAACCGGGGATGAAGAGGCAGGTTTCCTAGGTTATCTGGACTGGCTGGCCCATCCCTAAATATCTCCGCGTGGGAAACGCGTAGGCGTCATGCACAAACATGTACTCGCTGCATCCAGCTCCTCTCTACGAACGCTACGCCTGGACACTTACCATTTGTTTGCATAGAAGGTGCAAGATTTCAGCAAGCAAGACGCCGGCTCTTCCCACAGGAAGCAAAGGTTTGCTAAATTCTCTAGAATGAAAGAAAACCAGGTTTTTTTTCCTTATAATTGGAACTTGGAAGGCAAAGCAAGGGGTGGTGATCTAACTGAGGCAGGAAATCACCTTTAGCTGCTGCCAGGGATAAAGGATTTGATGGAGCTAGCACTGCCGATAAAACAGACTGCAGTGATGCAGCGCACTTGCCACAACAGGGCTAATTATGACAACGTTTTTATGTAACACCAAATCCAGTCATTTTTGTGGGACACTATTTGGGTCGCAGGACCCTTTTTGGGGAAAAGGCTATTCTTTTCTTACTACACTACTTACAGGAGAAGGGAACCAGTCAATTGGCTTCTAGTTAATCCCCAAATACAGAAGGCCAAGTACAAAATAGAGAAATTCCGGTGCTGGAAACAGCTTCCAGTCTGGCAGGCAAGGTTCTGTGCCCATTCAAGGCAAGGCCCAGGTGGTAGTTACTGCACTCCGAGATATAAAGGCTCCTGCGCGATCCTTGCTCGCCTCAAATCCAATTCTCAGAGCCTCCGCGTGCTCTCGAATGACTCCAACTGTGCACCACCGGGGTATTTTTTTAGCTCAGCTGAAGCAAACAGGATTGAAGCGGATTTATGGGTAAAACTTTCAGCCCTGAACAGTGACTACAGAGCAGCAAGCTCCCTTCCCACCACAGCTTCCAGATGGGTGCAAGCCCCGAACGACGTGCAGCACGCCTTTCATCAACTCAGACGAGAAGCTGAGCCTCTAACACTATTTGCCTTTTATCTGCTGATGGGAACCGCGCTGTGAAAATACTACAGCATAGCCAGGCGGGCAGCTCAGCTCGCCTGACGCTGGAAAAGAACAGCGTTGCTTACTGTATAAGTTCTCTCATAGAGATTCCTCCTTCTTTTAACATGGGGGTCACCAACTCAGCTAGGTACAACCAAATATGGGGTATATCTATGGCCATATCGTCTGCCATCTCCAAGGTATCTGAAAAACTTTAGAAAAAAGACAGAAAAATGTCAAGCATTACATTTAATTTCATTTGAGACTTTAAATTGAGAAAATCTGCACTTTAAAAACCCTTTGTTACAAAAGAGAGGAGGAAAGAGAGGAGGAAAGAGAATCACAAAGGTAACAACATCACCACCACCACCACAACAAAACAAAACTATTGGCATCTTATGCTTTCCGTGTTTCAGAACTGCCAGGAGCAAGTTTATGCGGTAACATGGAGAGTACGTGGAAAAGGCATCGCCTTCCGTAAAACCAGCAGATGCATCCAGGAAAGCTCCATTTACAATAATTCTTACATCCCAGTAACAAATTGTTTGCTAACTAATAAAACCTGTAAAAGGAAAAAAAAGCATTTTTGTCTATAAAGACAAAACATCTAATAAATGGAGCCTTCTTTAAAAAAAAATCCAAACAGACAGGGGATTAATAACAACAGGAGTCCAAATGTAAGGTAATCAGCAAAATGTCTGCAAGTATGTAAAATAACACAAGAAAAAAGTTCAATGCACCAGTGGGAGGCTTCCATCCAGAACAGAAAACGTGGCTGGATGAATTACAAAAAAATCGCTCCCCAACTCTGGACACAGTTTCCAGAATCGCTCAAAATTCTTCTTTCTGATAAAAACCTTGAAGGTGACTTCACTTCCCACGCCCGGTACAAGATGATCATTTTTCTGGCTCTCCTGTCAGTCTTCCTCATGATTCATTTCTCCCTCAAAACCTTGAAAATTCTGGGGTCCCGTTCTGTGCCTGTAAATGTGTATTTTCTCTTGTGCTTCGAAACCAGAAACTGTCTCCTTTGTTCTTTACGTCCTCTGCTACTTGTACAACCTAGGCTTGCCCAAGCGTTGCTGCCAGAAACTGGTTTCCTGTTGCGTATCTCTCCAGACTTGTGCCGTGACCAGTGCTCATCCCATAACCCCTAATTACACAGCGATTTGTCTTGCGCGAAGAAGCGGAGTGGCTTTCGGCGTTCTTCTCATGTGCCCGCTGAACACCGCTCGCCCTTTCATCATCTTCAGGAGCCGTTTCATTTTGCTTACGCCACATTCAGACCGCACGTCCCACTATTTCATCAAGGTCCTACTTATTTGGCATCGCCGCCACTTATCCACACTCCAGGAAACACAGGAACGGCTTTAATCGCAACCCATTATGGAAATGTATCGCTTCAAACGAGTCGTTTTGGCCATCAGTGACTGCGTGGACACAGACAAGTGTACTCCCTGCGGATATATATATTTTTTTACTGCTGTTCCGTACGGTTTTGAACTCAGGCTGCCTAAACCTTTCCTGCGAGCCACTGGATCGCATCACGATGAAATTCACGACACAGGGAGACCACCATCGGAGCGGTCAGCGGTACCGCCTGAGACGCGATTCCAACGAAAGCAGCAGGATGGAGCTGACTACCCAGAAACTCGGTATCGGAAAGCATTATTTCATCTGCTCGTTCGCGGGCGGCTTTTCATGGTTATCCCTGGTTTAACCATCCTGCTCTAAGCCCCAGCGAGGACGAGTGGTGCCAGGGAGCTCCTTGGGGGCACGGATCCTTTCACAACTGGACACCAGTTCAAATCCAGGCTGGGAACACAAAACCCAGAGAGCTGCAACGAACCAGCAGCCGAAACTCGGATCTCCTGAGGCAGGCCTAACCCGTCTGATACCGCATCTGGCGCGTGCTCTCCTCCTCAGCCCCTCGAGGACATGTCTGCTCCTTCACGTTGAGTTGTCCTGAGCAATTCCATCCATACATTCCATATGGGCGAAGGCTGTTTGACCAGCGGGAGGCTGGCTGCGCTTCTGTGGATGCACAGGACTTCAGGCTATGCAGCTTCCAGGCATTAACATCACGTGAAGGTTTTTGTCGTCTTCCTCCTCTTTTTAATCGTAGTCAGTGATTTGCCAAAAGGCAAACACTGACAAATGCATCACAAAACAGAAATCTAAACACGCGCATTTAAATCTACACCTACGTATTTGCTTAGAAATAAATGCTTATATAAATATGAAAAAATTTACATGCACTAAGGCATTTGAAATACTTAAAAATATATTACAATAATTATATTACTTATGAATACACCCAGGCAGAAACGCTCCTTCAAAAAGGATGCGTGGAGAAGGCGGGATACCAAAGCAAGGTGGGAAATCGTTCCTCCCTGACACAGCGTTCGTTTGCCACGAACGCTGAAGAAAAGCATCCATCTCTACGCGCAGAATACAAACCCCTTGAAGAAATCCTGCTTGCTCAGCTTTCCCGACTGCACCAACTGATGTAATAACTGGCCCATGTGATCCCTGGTGATCTGACTCCTCTCGAGCGTCGACTCCACTCCCACTCGCACAAAAACAGGCAGGAGATTCTGGGCGCTCAGCTCCTCCACGCACTGCATTGCTTCCTGTTCGAACGACACACAGGATCGTTTCAACTGAAAACATCAAAAAACGGGGCAAAAGAATATTTTCTACGATAGGACAGCACAGGGCGCGCAGCTTAGCACCTGGCGCGCGGGATGGGGATTTTTTTTTTGGTGGCAGATCAAGAGACTGCTAGCCTTGGGTTTTTCTGGAAACAAATATTCAGCGAAGCTGCCAGGCAAAGGTGCTGAACTTCGCTGTGGAACCTCATCACGAATCACCACCGAGATGGCAATCGAATAACAATAATGAGAATTCAAACCACGCAGGCAACAGAATTTTTAAAATACACAATCAGGCTCCAGGGTACAGTCTGGCTGCTCAGCGAAAGGACAGGAATTGTCTTCTGGATGCCACCAAACCGCCTATTATTTCATCAAATACCAAGCCAAGTCAAAAAGAGGACATTAGGTTGGATTCATTGCTGGTCTGGTCTGGCACAGAAACGCCCGTGTTACAAACCCGCACCATACAGAGCAGCAGCAAACAGGTAGGCAGCGTTTGGAAGAAAATTTCCTCTTTGTAAAGCTTCTGCTTTCTGGCATGTGCATGTTGTAACCTAAATCAGTAAAATGCTCTTAAACAGAGACGCCCAGAGAAGCAGCTCAACATCACGCTTCCAAAATCTCCACTGCCATCAGCAAAGATCCTCCGCTGACCCTGCAGGCTCAGCCCAGCGGCTCGCAGGGCGCTTCCTGACTCCAGGCATTCGCTCTTGGGCTTAGGTTATGCCCTTAATTATCAACAGCTGGCAGCCCCAGATGCATTTTTAGAGCCCCAAACGGCTTTTTTCTGCAGGTCGCAAGCCTGCTGGTCCCGGACCGCGTGTGCTCGGGTCTGAGCTCTTCCCTCAGACGTTCCCAGCGGATCCCGGTGCCTCCAGGACAGACAGGCGAACACGCCGCTGGCCGTCCCTGCTGTCACTAGACGCTGGCATACAGCTCGGCGGTTTTAATTTACAGTCAGGTTAAATACTGAAGACTAAACTCGTGAGAAACGGCTATTCCTCTGCTGTATACTGCATTAACGCACTCATACGCGGCCTTATTAACGTGAGTTTAAGCTGAATTAGTCGGAAGCTTTGCTGCACGCTGCATTGGAAGAGCACTGAGAACTTACAGTTCTCAAGTATCCCCTAATGCAAACAAGCTGCCTCAATCTGATGCACATTTTTAATCAGAGGTGCACTCGTCTAACACAATTCAACTCTTATTTCCATCCAGCCACAAAAATATGTCATTGTATTTGCAAGCACAGAAGCTGAAGCAGCCCCGTAGCCCCAGACATCCAGGGGCTGGACTTTGAAGTCTATCGCAAAAAGAAGAAGGACCGGAGACTCCTTTGGTAACCGGCCCCGGCTCCTCCTGCTGGGATCTGCCAGGCCAGCAAGCTGCGGACATGGTGAATCAAAATGTATTTTTTTTTTCTCCAAACCAGGATTTAATAATTTCTCCTGATAACTAGATGCGAACCCAAACCAATCCATCATAAGAATATTCCTCTTTCCGATTTTAATTAGAAGCCCTATGAAGTACAAGCAGCAGCTCTGCTTTTAGGGTGCCAAACTAGGAACTCCCCAGTGCTGCCATTTCAAACTTGGCAGGTTTTTAAAATTTATTTCAGCAAAAGATCAAATCGATCAGCTTTGCAGCGAATGTAACACGTCTTGCAAGCTCCCTGGACAAGCTAAAAATGCATTTACAAGGGAAACAAAATTTCAACCTTTTACTAGGAAGTGATGACAGCTGCTCAGTAATTTTCAATGTTTATTAAAAATACTCTGGAGTGGTTTGTTCAATATTTAGTATTGCTTTATCTGCCTCCAGATCAGAACAGCACATGCTTTGATAACTGAATGAAAACCTCAGTTTATTTTCCCACTAGCTTTTCTGCTTCCAAAATTGCTGTTATTATGGAGCTGCTCAGTGATTCATGACAGATACACATATATCTTGCTACTTAAAACACACAAGCTGGGCTATTTTTCCTTTTACTAGCAGGGCAGAAAACAGGTTTGGGAGACAGCTCTCCTAGAAACGCTGACGGAGCTGCTGCCGCCCGAATTTCGACAGGCCCCACCGCTTCTGCCACCTCTGAGCGAGCCGCGTGCTTACAAAGACGCTGTTCATGGCGAAAAAACATACCCCAGTCCCACAGACCTTTCTGCTAAGTGAGGTTTTCATTTTGCTTACCTTAAAATCGTTAATATGCAAGAACTCATCAATGATAGATTTGCATTTTCTCTCTATTTCCTCTTCTGACAGGGAAGGCTTTTCTTGTGCTGGAGCTGGGGGAGCTTCTGGCTTGGCTGGTAGAAATATAAGAAAAAAGAAAAAACCAAACCACATTTGGAAAAGGAAAACCAGCATCATTTTCACAGGTGACATTCTGAAAACAGAAGTCACCGGAGCAGGGAGTGTTCCCTGTCCCATCATCAGGCACGGGTCACTTCTTTCTTGGCTACGTTTCTCCCTGTATGAACTCCCAATATTTCTGTAAATCAACCTTCTCCCGGGAACACGGTTGGCAGTGACACGGGATGCAACGCCTTCAAAGCTCTCCAGCAACATTAAATAATTAAGCTTTGAGCTGTTACAGCATGCTGCAAATTTAAAACATGCCGATCCGTGGGGGCAGCAACCCAACGCCATCTCCTGATTGCATCCCCGAAACCCCGGTCCCCGTGAAGTTCTTTGCAAAGTCCCAAATCTTCAAGACGAGCGTGTGCCGCGTCGTGGCAGTTGAGACGTATTCCTCACTGTAGCAGTTTCTAGATGTTTCCCAGGGAAGGAGCAAAACACCGTACTTATCGCAAAGGTTCTGTCCACAGGGAACATCGCCCTAAGCGTCCTCAAGACTTTCTCACTAACAAATCAGCTCAAGCTGGCAGGAGCAAAAAGCGGGAGCTGCAGCACTGACAAGGTGCCGAGCCACCGCAGCGGGTGCTAACGCCACATGGCACCGAGACCGGCTTGGAACAAGGGCTGGCAACCACGCAGCGCTAAAAAGATACCGCGCATGGTCTGTCCCGGACCCAAATAGCCGCTCTGGCCCTGGGAAATGTTTGGAAAGGGTAGATACGGCCTTATCGGGCACTGGAGCAGCAGTTCTGCAGAACTGACGCTGATTTTGGGGACTTCTAACCCAGAAACCAGCAGCGACAGGATGCGAGCAGGCAAGACAACGCCGCGGAGCGGTGTTTTGCTGGCATCTCCAGCCTTTCACCTCTGATGAATCCTGAGGAGGAGCTGGCAAGGGGACGCCGCCAAGGCCTGTGCGAACCAGTTGTGTTACAAACCTTTGGGAGGCAGAGCACAGCTACCGCAGCCTGACGACACGGCGCTGCGGGCCAAATATTCACGCCGCCGCACAGAAATCTGTCGCTTTTTCCGATAGATTTTTCCCTTGTGCCTTTTCACACATCCAGCGAGATTCCCTAAGCACGGAAGAGCCGCTTACCAGATTCCTTGGCTTTGTTCCTCTCCGCCTCTGTGCTGTTCCTGTCCATCTCCATGCCGCCTGTTAACTGCTTCACCGTCTCCAGCATCTCCCGCCGCTGCTCCTCTTGTGCCTGATTGTCGAGCAGCAGCTCTTTACTGCTGCTGCCCCGTAGGAAGGTGTTGGGACGGGAGAGGGAAGGCGGGAGAGGTTTGTCGTTCTTCTCCCTGCCCGTGCTCCCGCGACTGCGGAACAAAAACACACGCGCTTAAAGGTTACAGTACGAGTAAGCTGCTCGCAATGCTGGTAATGTTAGAAAAGAATCTGGATAGCTTATAGTAACTGCAGGATAAAACCCGCAATCCAAACCCAGCAGGATTGTTGTCTCGACTTTTTGCTGTTGTAGCTACACCGAATATAATGAAAATTAACTCAAGTCTCAGAGATGCACATAAAAAAATAAAAGCAATAAAGTCCTTACAGCACCTGGTTCATACGTAGGATGGTGAATTTTATAATGTAAAGGCATTGTTTTACTGTGAAATGGTAGGAGCAGTGTAATTTTTTTTCCCCTCTTTATGGAAAAATAGTTTCGGAATAGTGAAGGTTACCAGCAACAGGTGACAAGGATCTGCCCTATTAATTACTGTGTTAATGAGGAAGATGGGCAAAACGCTACCAAAATGGACTAATGCCAGGTAAGCCAGAGTTTTAAGTGAAACAGGAGGGAAAACGTCAGAGGGACAAACCCGGCAGCTGGTGTGTACTGGAAGGAAGAACCAGTGACGTTTTAAATGAACTGTACATTTATACGCCGTGTCTGGAGTTAATAAACGATGTTTCATGCTACAGGCTGGAGCGGCTGTAGCCCTGATGAAATCGGGGGGTGCGAGAGCACTGCACAGCCTTCCGTACGCATCGCACGATGCGGAAGCACGGGCAGGCTTGGTCACACTGAATGGGAAGGGTCAGACACAGCCAGAGCGTTTTACGAGCCCTGCTAAATTCCTGCAAGGTTTTAGGCGTGTTTTTCTGGATAAATAAACCTATTGACCCGGCTGAATCCACGACCATTGAAACCAACCTGCGTACCTATTAGAACATTTTATCTGAAGAGTTTTTAACCTGTTATAAACTACCAGCAAATGTATCCTTTAGATAAAGGGTGACTGAAGAGTGGAAATTAAAACATTCACCATTATGGCTTTAAAAATTAATACCGCCTATCTCTCCTTTGATATTATGAGAGATGCGTGTGTTTCAAGTTAGCTCAAAGCACACGGGGCGGGGGGGGAAGACCCAGCCGTTGCTGGAAACTCAATGAAATTCCTTCTGCGTGCTCGTAACTAGAGCAGCAAGTGAAAAGTGCAGGCGTACAGACAACGGAAGGGAAAAATCACCGGCGGCCCAAAGCTTACCTAGTTAAGGCCCTGCGAGAATCTAATTCTGAGGATGCGGATGAGGCAGATACAGATGAGACTGGAGGCTGCAGTGCAGAAAATCTGTTCAAACTCGTGGCACTTGGTCGTAAGGAGTCTGGGAGATTGTAAAGACAACACAGAGAAGGGCGACAACGAGGTCAGTGGCTGCTGACTCCTTGGCACCACAGAATCATTTAAGCAGGAGCTGCTTTCGGAGTGACGGGGAGAGAACCGAAGGGGAAAGGCCGGTCCTGCCCCGCTCTAACCCTGCCTGCCAGGCAGGCACGCAGAGATGAGCGCTCCCACCCAAAGCCGCTCTCGGCAAGGGTGGGTGGTGGCAACGCAGAGGGCGAGGAGCTCTCCCGACTTACCCATCTCGCTTGCCTTGGCTCCACCACTGCTGCCCTTTCCCCAGCTGCCCAGCTGGGCTTTAGGCACAAGCTGAATCTTCTCATCTATTGTGGGCTGTAAAAGACATCAAGATGTACCATTACAAGGGCAAACCGTACACCTTAATTCTCAAGGGGGTATTTTTTGGCAACAAGCCCCGTCTTGTGAATACCAAAATACGCTTTAACACATTTTCGGAAGACCAAACCCCAGCCGAAGACGGAGGACACAAACAAAGGGCATCGCAAACAGCCTCTTCCAAAGTGTCACTGAAAGACACTCACAATGACCGGGAGCTGCTTTTTATTGGGAACTCTGAAGCTCAGTAAGGAGGAAAAAGCACGATATATCAGTACTTGAAAGATGTTCAGTTTGTGATGAGTAAAACGGTTCTGCTGCCCACTCCACCTACCAGTCAGGGCTTTGGGGGGAATCTGCATGGTAACAAACAGAATTCAGAGGGCGAAGAATGACAATAGGTTGCAGAACTTGGAGGGGAAAAAGTAGTGTCTGGCAAGAAGAGAACACTGATTTTGCAATGCTCAGTAGGTGAATTTATTGACGAGGAGGCTGTGACCCTGCAGATCTCTTTGTATGAGCTCCCCTCTCCTTCCGACAATGCAGCTGCTGTGGAGCCAGCTCTATTTGTACTGCATTTGTACGAACCGGAGTAGAAGGACTTTTCCCAGATGAGCTGTAAGCCCAGACAAAAGCAGGCTGAATCCCTCCTGCTAATTAAGTTTTGGAGTCTGTTTTATGACTTTCACAAGGAACAAACCGAGCTTGATCTTCAGTCTGTCCAGGTTCTGCTTTACAGCTCTCTGAGCATCCAGGAACTGAGAGTAAAATTCAGGGAGAATGACATTAACTGGGACAAGGGGATGTCTAGGAAACACCCTGATTTATGTGAAAGATGGAGCTCTCCTTGGCGAGAAATCCCAAAGCTGTTCTGAAGATCATTAAAAAAGGAGAAATCTCCAAGCTTGCCTAACCTGCAGCCTGAAATAAATGTCCCAAAATCTCCACTTTAATGGTAAAATAACAGGAAGACGCTTATCTGGAGGATGAGTGTGAAAGTTTAACACATACTGAGGGATGCAACTGCACCGCACAGGAGGCCAGAAACGCTGTAAAAGCGGACGCAGCTCTTCTCGTACGGCTTGAACCTTTCAAGCCTGGAGTGCTGCCATCTGTGATATGTCAGGAACATTTTGTTTTCAGTTTGAACGTGGCATCCTCATTCTACTAAGAAACAGCATCAGAACAGGGTCTTGAGAACTCGAGGCAGCAAAGGATTCCTACCAGACAGGTGTTTGAGATGCCTTCCGTAATAGCCATGTACGTGCTCCATTGCCACCACACACAATACCCCAACTCACAATCTCTGTTAATCGTTTAGTAAAAACACAGATTTTCCACCTTGGAGAACTTCTGGGTCACTAAAAGGACACTATAAATCTGAGAAAAAGCGCATGCATGCTCCTTTCCCTCAGAACAAGCAAACCAGGAACATTCAGAAGACAACGGAGTCTTCCTTTGCGCTTTATTTATGCGTAGTACTAACTCTAGGGATTTAAAAAGCCCCCAAACCCAAGTTTTGACCTGTAAACACCGTAACGGTCTTTCCTAGACAGATACAACAAGGTAAGACCTCAGCATTCTTGTTGCTCTGAACGAGCCTTGTGCTGGCACCTACCTTGGTGATTTTAAGGAACTTGGTGGGGTCCAGCACTCTGCTGTTCTTCGCCCCCTGCACAGTGTTCCAACCGCCTTCATCGACCCGCTGGACACCTGCCAGGCGACAAACACAACTGCCCTTAGCTCAACCCCGCCGCTCCCGCGCACCCCAGGAGAACGCAGGCGATCGTCTCCAAGCTCAACAGGAGGAGGAAAAGAAAACGGCACGTTTCTGCTAAGGCTCAGCACAATTCTGTGCCGAAATCATCTCTTTTGGAGCGTTTCTTCAGCCTAAGATGACGTAACTAACTTGCCTGACTTTATTATATTACAAAATAGCCTTGACATAAAAGATCTCACTATTTTCAAGGGCTGGTTTCGGTGGTGATTCTTCCTGGTTAGATTTCTCAGTGCGTGCGTTCTTGCGATCCGGATGCGGCTGCACATACTGTGCGGTCACAGGCTCACAAAAGGAGCAGATGACGCCTTTGCTAACCCAAAGCTGCATTTGTGGCACAAATTTCAGCAGTGCTAGGCTACTCTAGACACAGAACCATCCAGGCAGTCCCCAAGTTCCTTTCCTTCTCCTGATGTCAGTTTTAGGATAATTAAAACAAAGTCTACATGTATTTTCTTTACGCCCTGTTTTCACAGCACCTTCATTTGACAATCCTTAGTATTAAAGAATCCCAAAAGACGACTTTCTCCTCGCCCTGCTCTGTCCCAGTCTTCATTTTCCCAATCACTCCAAATTCATCTTCAGGTAGTGCCAGCCTCAAGGGCTGGCAGCAATTTAAGGTAATGCCAAGACGCGTTCTCATGCTGAGTTAACACCTCACAACTTTAACAGCTAAAGACAACATGGTTACTCTTGAAATTAGATGCTATTCTCTTGAAATGAGATGCTGCTGTATGCAAGAATGGATGGCAAATCTGACTCCTACGTAGTAACTGGTTATAACAGATTTCTGGCAGCCTGTCACAAAATCAAATATGGTTTGCATGAATGCGACACTTAAGCACTATTGGCCTGCGATTGTTTATTTTTACCCAAGGGATTTGCCCCCAAAAAGTCCACACAGCCAATCCACGGCAAGTCTGTTCCTTCTCCAGCCTCAGCCATAATCAATTCCCTTTGCTCATTACACTTCGGAAAAAACCCAGACTTTTTTTCCCTTATGTGGGGTTCTGACTATGGCCGCTGGTTGTGAAATGAGTGAAACGAGCAGCCAACTTGGCTTTTACTTTACCCGGTCTCCTCTTCTCTTTGGTCATGAGTTGTTGGACCTTCCTCTGTTCTTCTTGCTCTTCAATCTTGGCTTCTTTATGAATCTGCTCGATGGTCTTCGGACCCTGGTCTGCTCTCCGTGACACCCAGTTGCACTAGGAAAGAACCAAACATGTGCTCAGAGATACTTCCAGGGGAGGCACCGTAAATGGGCTATTTTGAACACCACGAACGAGGCCTAATCCTCCCACCCTTGTCATGTCTTAGAGGGGCTGCTCCCCGAGGGACTGGGGAAAATTTTGTGGAGCTGGGTCACATTGTGGACACGTTTATCCCAGCACCACAGGTCAAAGCTACGTACTCTGGCGTACTGACTGCAGCGTGTGCTTTGGTGGAGAATGGAGGCTGTGGCGAAGACCTGACTTTGGAGAGGCATGACTGAATTCAAGACATTTTAACCCCTAGCATCCTGCACGTTCCCAGCTTTCCAGTCTTTCTAGGTTCAGAGGAAAGAGAAAGACTAGAGGGAGGCTGCTGTCACTCTCTATCTGTTTATTACCGACACTGTTGGAGACCTTCCTCCAAGCTTGAGGAAAAAAATGAAACCCTGAAAATAAAGAAGCAAGAAGCAACTGCATTTCATCTGGAGATGGTGCTTTGCCACTCCAGGGATCACGATGGCTGAGACAGGAATCCTGCAGAGAGGGGTGGAGCTGTCTCTCCACAAAACGTTTCCACTGCTTGATGTGTCTACTCAAGCATATGCTGCAGAGATCCATCTACCCCCAGAATAACCAGACTGTCTCTTGATCTTGCTACAACCTCACGACAACTTTTGGGGTAACTGTCTTTGCGTACCCTGCAGTCAAAATGGTGACTTCAGCCTCCACAAAACCCCAAACCAGCTTCAAAACAGCGATCTGAGGTACGAGTAAAACCCGCTCAGGACTTTGGTCAAGTGCTGTCTCGTGGCTAAAGCCGCGCTGCATGGGTGAAATTACAGGCGCTGGGGAAGGTTTGTGCAGTCACGTCTTCGACCGCACGGTTTAGAGACACCTTTCACTGTATGAGACTCCAGCTTTAACGCCTTGGCTACGTTCAAAACCGATGCTTGACTGCAAAATGGGCAGGTCCCTGTCTGCACTTGGCTACGCCGAGTTACCTCCTACCTGTCATTTTTGGAGCTTAGTGCGGACCCACCATCGTCATGCTCTGGTGCAACGCAGACTCCATGTGCTTTTGCCTGCACAATATGGCCAGTAAACAGCCAGCAGATGCCTGGTTGTGCTACAATACGGGCTAACATAGGCCCGCCTTTCAATGGAATCCATACTGCCATGGAAAAGAGCCCTCACAGCTTTTACAGCCACGCTAACCGGTCCCCCTCACTTGTGGGTACGCATCTCGGAGCACTTCGGTCCCAGCAAGGAAGTGCTGGCAGGTAACAGTTACACCCGGAGCGCGTGAAACGAAGACAGCAAAGCAACGCGACTGACACAGACAAGCGCAGGGGATGCTGTGGGGAAAAACCACCCAAAACCTCTGCTGTGAAACGAGCTCAGGCGTGTCTGCTGCAGTGGGGCTAGGCTAGTGGGGCGAGAAGCCAGCACTACTGCTTAAGTAGTGTTGTTAAGCACAACCAAAACACCCGACACAAGCAGTTGATCTGTCTAACAACCCTGGCCTTCATGAAGGCAAAATGGGAGAGATTTCTTGTCTGTAAACAACCAGACTTTGGGGATAAGGGGGACAGATCTCCCCCCAGCGTCCCACTTCTGCTGTAAATACCGTAAATCCCTGCTCTCACATGAGAGCTCTTCCAGCCCGGACATTACAGGGAACGTGCTCTTTTACTTACTTGAGTTGGTACCTACCAGCCTTAGGTCTATTACATCCTGAAGCATGAACCGAATCCTTGAAGATGTTTTCCTCTCTTTCACAATCTTCTCCATCTGATTAAAATACTGGTCCATGCGAGGCTACGCAAGAGAAACATCATCATCGTCAATGTGTCTTGGAAGAAAATGAAAATATTCCCTCAGGTGGGGAGTCGGTGGGTTCTGCGTTACAGCATTTCTGTGCCAGAAACGCATCTGGGGACCCAGAGCTGCTCTCCGGAGAAGCGAGCGTTGGGTCTCATACGCTCCCCTGGGTCGGATTTGAGTGTGCGCAGTGCAGGATGTGCAGGAAACGGGGCACAAGTCTGCGGGCACCTCCTTCGTTTAGCACACGCTTTCTCTGCATTTTTAATTATTCAAATAATCTACACCCGCTGCACGTACACAATAAACTTGCCATCCATTGGGGGGGAAAAAAAAAACCCCAATGTGGTTTTTTTTCCATGGTGCAGCTAAACTGATCTACTGGCTAGCTGCCACCAAAAACGGGGAGTCCTGCTCTACCTCTGAGCTCCTCCTTTTCATATCAGCATGAGCGCTCACCTCAGCCCGAGAAAAACCAGCTCAGGAAACTAAACGGGCATAAAACTAACCCTGCAAACATCATTTCGGTGCTTTACCTCCCTGAACTGTCTCAGCCGGGGTCAGGCAAGAGAAGAAGGGGCAGAAGCACTGCTTCTCTCAGCAAGAAGCTGTTTAACGGGCTTAGCTGCAATATGAAATCCCACAAGCTCCTTTGCAGCCAAAAAGTCATGGTGTGATGGAATCCAAATCAGTTGGCACTAAGACATGAAATGGTATCATTAGAGAAGCCTCCACTAGGTCTAAATTTGACTCGCCAAGATCCAAAAAGCCCAAAATGGGATGTCTGGCTGTTTTAAATAACAAGTTTCAAGGCAGTTTTGTAAAACGTTTCCCAGTCCCTTCACTAAAAACTATCTAAACCCTTTTCCTTATACTTCAACAAACAAGAAAAACCCTATTAAAATTTGGTTCTGGCCTTGCCTTGGAAAGTTTCAGCTCAGAGCAAATGTTTCCAAAGTTAGGAATGACAGGGAAAATATTTGAAATGGACTTTGTCCAGCAGCTTTAATTATAACTATCACTAACACTTCAGGTTCAATAAAAACACATAATAAAACATCTACCCCATTAACAGAAAATAAATAAAGGATCCTCACTCAATCTTGATAGAAATAACAAATCACAAAGACGGGACACGGACAGCGTCTCACACCGGGTAACAGGACATCTGCAAGCACTTCCCTGCGGCGCGCACGCTCCGCGCTCTGCGGTGCACGGCTCAGGCTTGCAGAACCGGCCAGTGCACCAAAGCGTTGGCTTTTGCAGCGTTTCCACGCTCGCAAAGACCAAAACAGCCTCCAGGACTCATCCGACGTGACCTCAGCTACTGCCTTCACGTCAGACCCTGTTTTCTTCCCAAAGCACGTGGAGAAATTTAATCCCCGCTTCTGGCACTTTCAAACCGCATCGATAACGCTGTTGCGTTAACAGCGTAGGGTATTTGGCCGGGGGGATCGGTGGTAAACTACGCTGTTTTGGTCAATGCTCCACAAAGCAGTTTGGGAAACTGTTTCCCCGTAAGGATCAGGATTGATCCGCTGTGATCCCTGCAATCCAGCGCACTGTAAGGGAACTCCCTTCCCCGAGCAGCTGAAAACAATTAGCTCAGTTTGTTTCCAGAGCTGACTCCGACCGATTTCTGGCAAAACCCTCGAATGCTTTTTCATCCCAAGCCTGGCTTTTGTGAAGGAGAAGCAGACTGCAGTGCCAAGAGAAGCTCATCGAGCGCGTAATGCTCCGTGCTACATATACATTTGTTGGGAAGTCGGGAGGAAGATGCTGGAGCGCTGCAGTTGCAAAACAGCTGCTTCATTCCAGCATAGCTGGAGATGATGATGACACAAAATAAATGCATCCTCCAAGGTTCAGGTGGAGGTTTAGGCCAGTTAATGAGGGTTTTTTTTAGATTTAACCTGAACAATACATTCGGTGGTAGATTTTGTAGGTAACCTAAGTCTTCAGTGGTATAGAAACAACTCTGAATCTTAATGGTTTGGAAACTAGAGATAAGAGGTGAATTCTATTTGGAAAAAGGAACCCATAGGATATGCTGAGCGCTTTCTAGAGCGTGTGATTGGACGAAGTTATTTGGAAGCAAGTAGCGCCTGGAGAACACCGTTGAAACTCTATCAGAAAGGGGCAGAGAGGAGGGAGCGAGGCCAGGTCGTGATGAAACATCCGTAGAAAAGCGGATGATTTCCTCATGCTGTAGAGAAATTCCAAAAAAAAAAAAAAAAAAAAAAAAAAAAAAAAAACAAACAACCCAAAAAAATCCTCAAATAAACCCCCCACACCCCCATTTTTCCATCCCTGCCCTGAAAGCCTCAGCTCTCACTCCCGGTCCTGCCCTACCTTTGCTTTCTCAAAGTCCAGGTCCTTGCCAATGGTAGTTAGCAGGCGGCAAAGGCACTCGAGGGACTCCTCATCGTGGTTTTTCAGCAGCTTTACCACGCAGTCATGCATGATAGCCTCCGTCAGCATTTTTAGTTTGAAAAGCTCGCCAATGAATTTTATATTCCCAATGGATCTCCGTCGGGCTTTGTCCTTGGCCTCTTCCAGCTCGTCATGGAGCCGTGTCTTCTCCTCTGGCTGTAAAACAGAAAAACAGCTCTAAAAAAAAAACCATGTTCACAGAGAACAGAACTCTTCAAAAGATGCACTTTTACATTTATAGTTGCTGTTGTCCCTGCTTACTCTTTTTCGCCTAAAAACCAGAAAGAGGCTGGTATAAACCTGCTGATCAAGGCAAATATTCTTTATTATACTCAGCCACAGTAACAGAATGAAACTCTCGACTCCCAGATTCCCCCCAGATCGACTGCCATCTTCAAAAGAGATCATTTTCAGAGGGAGCTCTGAGAATTTATGGGGAAAAATACCACTTACAGTGGTAGCAGCTTCAAGTTCTTTCTGCTTCTTTTCAAAGACGTCATCATCAGCCTTGTCCTTTTCAAATTCCTTCTGGCAGCGATTTAAGAGCAACTTGCGGAAATTTACTGTGCTCCCAGGTTTGTCTGCCATGGGCACTTTCAGCTACGGGAGAAGGAAGAAAAACATCAGCAGAAATACGGCTAAACTCTACATACGAGTGAGGTTTCCTATAAGCCATCCATTACATTTTATTATGCACTTCATATTCAGCAACACAAGCCGGCAAGGCTATGACAGTTAAGCGTCACGTCATGATTTCCAGCCAAGTTTTACATTTCACATGTAAAGTCGCACTCCAAACTTGGCTGACACCACCTCCGCCCGGAGACAGATTACATTTCCATTCACGGGATCCTTTAAAAAGACACTTTGCTTAAAAACGCTCTTGTTACGTGCTCAAGACTCTGGAGCCGTGCTCCTTCGTTGCACGTCACGAAGGATCGGGGGAAGAGGGGATTATTTTGTCCCAAATAAATTAGTTGAAAACTAGCTGTCCCAAGGCTGGCTTGGCACCTCGGGCTCCCCTTCAAAACAAGAGAGAGAAATTGGACTTTCCAAACATGACTCATTGCATCTTGTGACCAGGCAGAGCGAAGTATCGTTAACTCCAAGCAACACATCGCTCCAAGCAAAGCCCTCTGCCTGCAGGCATGGCCAACGAATGTAGAAGAAGAAATCCGTCCTGTAAATTATTTTTATTCACGCTCGGAAACTAAGATTTAACTCTGCTCTCGCCACGTTTATATTACTGCCGATCAGTTAATGGCGATAACGTGCAGAACATTCACCCATGCAGAGGAATTTCCCATTTGACTTTGGCGGCTCTTACCGTTACAAGACATCTGCACATGTTGGCATACGCCACCGAGAAGCTCGGTTCGTCGATAGCCTTCTCGAAGACCAGGTCGATGACTCCTTTCAGCCTCTCTTCTGTATCTACTGTCAGGTCTGTCACTTGCTTCATGAGCTGATTGAACATCTGGGGCGTCAGCTTGTTCAAGATGCTTCGTACCTTGCGGAACAGCTCCTAAATGACAGACAAACTGTAAGTTTAAGCACAAATCTAACGGGTGGCTTCCAGGAACGAGCTGGCATGCATCTTAAAGGTGAATGGAGACGATGTCCTATAGGAGCTTCTGGGAAGTTGAGTTACACACAGACATGCATTTGTGCACAGCCCAGCTCCAGTTCTAACTCAGCTACCGAAGACCAAAGCTACGGGGCAGGATTTTTGGAAACACCCAAGTGCTTTTTTCAAGTGCAACAGCGGCACAAAGCCCTTGCTGTCACCCATCTGAAATATTCTTCTTGATAACAGCTTAAGCCACAAGATAGAAATTAACAGGGAGTGGCCGCCCTCTCCCTCAACTAGAGGTAATCAGCTTCTCCTATATTTACTTTAAGGCACTTCCCCCCCCCGCCCCTGAATGATAATTAGGCCAACAACGCTGCCGTTAGCCCCAGGAACAGAATTCCAGTGTCCTTCAAGACTATCCCAACTTATCCTACAAATTACACGTTTGACCAGCAGGCAAATGCCTCTGCCCAGAGTGGCTGCCCCACAGAGGAGAGGAGGGGGAGAAAGGCACAGAGAAAGCTTCAGAGACGGCGCTGTTGGGCTGGGCAGGACAAACTGACAGAGGAACCTCAGTCTTGCTGAGGTTCAGGGCAGAAACATAGTCTAAAAGGGGATAAAAAGCAAGTTCTGTCCTGGAATGTTTGAGGTTGGTTGTTTTAGAAGGGAGACAGAAATATTCTAGTAAAATAGCAATAGACAAACAGTCCTGGAAGAGAGGTAGTAGGTTGTCTGGTGTTCCCTATTTAGACTCGCTTAATATACAGGATTGCCATTTAAACTCGAGGTCAAGAATAAACACATGAAGAAAAAAAAAAAAAAAATATCAAGGTAGGGGAAAGCTGTGATCCAAACTGGAATTCATTGCTCTTTTTCACTGTCTCACACAACAGCAAAGGCAAACTACCAGCCTCCTCCTGTTACAGACTGCTGTACTCGGAAGCGCTTGCTAACGCTCTCACCTGGGTTTTGACATTTTCTGGGTCCTCGGTTTGGTTTTCTCTCTTCAGGCTCGGCTTCCAGGCATTCTCTGCCTTCTTGAGGTGGACATCCTCCTTCACACACACAGTGATGATCTTCCTGGGCTCTCTCCTCTGGCCTGGCTGAGATCTCCTCGGTCCAACATTCAACAACTAGGACAAAAACATTCCTTGTTATATCGCCTTTTAAACTCGCATCGCGATAAAACACTGCAGGGCGCACGCCAACACCCGCCGATGGCAGCGCCAACCATCAGCAACTCCTCCTAGGACTTTGAGGACTCCCTCTGACCCACCACACCGGTCCAGGGTGGTCAGAGGGAACATGAAGACACCAAACATGTTTCCCTCGGGCAGCTTTTCCCAAAACAGATATGGGATGACCACTGCCTACACGCATCAGCGATGCTCCAGATGCTGCTTAAGTGCTGCAGAACGCACCCCTACTGACCAAAACTGCCTCTTCAAAGCCAGAAACTCTGTAACTGAGACATCGTAGCAAAGGTGTCTTTAAGGATTACATCAGTCCTTACAGGTGTATTTGAAATGTGCCATCCCAAGTATTAGATAATGATAAATTAGCAGCTCTGCCAAAAACGTTAGGTTTTACTGGAGATTGCTTCAAACAGAGCCATTTTGAGACAGGAATTGCGTAAGACACACTGAATGGAGCATGAGTGCTGCTCCTGCGTTGTAGAAACACGGATCCTAACAGCGTGGGTCAAACTCTTTGCAGTTTCACAGAAGAAAAGGAAACAGTACTTTGTTTGAAACAGCATCAAGTGCTTCTCTGCAATCCTGTATAACGTGATGCTCCCCCTGGTCAAACCAGGTACGAAAACTGCAGAAACCGGGGAGTTTTTCATTGGTTGTACAAGCGATAAGGCACAAGACACCCCCAAACTCCCTCTTCATCATCCAGGAGCTTCTGCTTAAGGACTAAAGGTATCAAGTGCTGTCGGGACATTATTCTTCCCCCGCGCTCTTTCATTTTTCTGAACTCATTAGAAATGTCCAACCTCAATGTAAAAATTAGCGCAGCAACAAAACTCCATTATCAAACCCCGTTACTTTCCACAGAAGTAATTACTCTCTTCAGTGGGCAGTAGGCAACCTCAACATGAAAGATGGGCCATTTAAAACATTTCTTTGTTCAACAAAGGGATTCAATCAGCATCAGAGAGGCAAAACCATCTCAGTTATTCAAAGAGCTTCACTGAATACGTGAGGAGAGGCTCTTAGCTGGTGCCTCTCATGTCATATACCAGCCCCAAATCCACCTCTGCATAATTAAAAAAGAAAACCCTCCTTAAAGGCAGGAGCTTGTATCTGCGATTTGAACCGCTCGGATTTGAC